GGGGCTGAATAGTCCGCGTAGATAGGGGCATTAATTAAACAACAAACGTCGGCGCCGTTTTTGCAAAATAAGGAGATTGTCGCTGCAACCTGATGTAAAGAGTAATTAACATATACATAAATTTAACTAAATGTATGCAGAAAATTTATTTTTTCCTCTTATCTTTGGAGTCGTAAATCTGATTGAGCTATCACGCTAATTTAACATTACCATCTTTAATTAACTTGTCTTCGCCAAACTTCCTAAATGATAAATAAATAAGTAAAGTTCTTGATTTCTGCGGCTATCACTTAACCAAAAACAGCTCCGAAAGATTATGCATGCATTGAGTTATGACTTCGAGGTCTTTTCTTGACATGCAAAATTTTCGCCTTTCCAAAGTGAGGAAGGCATTGCCGAGTGTCAAAAGCAAGACAAATTAACGAAGCTTTCACTAATAAATCTGGGCAGCTCTGGAGATGAATGCATCGGATAGCGAAGTGAGAGGATGTGTAGGTGTGCAAAGTTACACAGGAATAAAAGGGTAATTAGCTAAAAAATGTTCATTCAACCTACCCCTTTAGGTAAGGTGGTTTTGTTTTTTTTTTTTTTCGAAGCCTCCTGAGAGCATCCCAAATGGTTCTTTTGATTTCAGCACAATTATTTATCATAATGTACATTTTTTCGTAAAATTGGCTTGCATTTGCTGGACAACTACAGTTCAGGGCTAAGTAGCATTGGAAGGGTTCCACACTGAAAACACCGCAATGTAGCATTGAAGATGAACTCCGAATTTATGTATTCCATGGGAACGCTAACGTGACAGACGAAAGGGAAGATTACGAAATAGTATAATATTTACAAATTATGGCCGTATGTGCATCGGAGGGCTATTAAGTAGGGAGACAGAGGCTACACGGTGGCGCCACCAAGAACTGGCCCGAAAAGCGCTTGGTCCACGCCTTACCGGAGGACTGTCGTGCGCTCACTAGAGTACCCTCTAATTGACTCGTCGAAACTACCGTCGTCAGCCGGAATCGCCATTCGCCCATTGCCTTTGGCCTCGACAGAGAGCTTTAATTACACCTGTCCGCTGCATAATCCTCCCTTACAAGTCGCTCACCGATTCTATTTTATCGGGGCGTGGAAATTATGCAAGAATTGACGTTTAATCAATTGCACTACCTGGAAAGTTAATTTATACATTTTGAATTCACTTTTTGGGTTATTAATCAGAATGTATTTATTAGAATGAGCTGTTTATATCAAAACGGGACTGATGACATCACCATTTACAATGCACAAAATGTAAAAATGACATTCGTTTTCGTTTGTACACCCAATTCTCTGCTATTACACGTTACTATTCTACCTATTCTAGCGTATAAATAATATCTCATATGCAATGAAACCTCGGATTTTCTAGGTTTTGCCAACAGAATCCCTCTATCCTTGGACAATTTGCCGCACTTCTCTTCAGTCCGAGTCAGAAGTGAAATGTTATCTTGGTAACCAATTTACGTGAAGTAACCTTACGAAAATGCGAATGTGTTTGGGTGACTGTCCTCACTGTTCACACTGAAGGCCTCTTTTTAGGTAGGCGTCAGTCTTATTCGTCTCTTGTGCAATCACACAATGGATTAGAATACGTTTCGACCAAGCAATGCAGTCAGGAGGTCTAATCACTAAAATTTAGCAGTAATGACGATTGCCCCGTGAGCTGACAGACTTTGAACGGGTGGTGCTTCTATGGTAGCATTCTCCTAGCAATACCTGTGACACAAAAAGCCTCGTTTTGACTCGAACGTCCTGCGCACATGAAGTGTAACTACTCAATTGCACATTTTAACTAGGATAAGTGCAAAAACTTGGGAGATTTTTATGAATTATTAAAAAATAAGGTTTTGATTAAATGTTTGAAATATCATTAAAATCATTTCAGCTCCCCCAATCCTGCCGAAACTAGTAACAGACTAAAGTACAGATGAGATAGAAAGCTCTTAGCCTGATGCCTAAGGCTGTGCCGTAGAGCGGAAGTACACTCTCTCGCGTGCTTTAATACACAGTCCAACATAAAATACCGGATCACTACAATCCAACGTCGAGGCTTGAAATTTAAATCCCCTGTGCACCTTTTAGCCGGAAAATCCACTCATTCTTTGCCATTTCCATGGGCAAAAATCATAAAATTACACAACGTTGTTAATTATTGTGTTGGGTATATTAAATTTCATCCCATTTTCTCTGATGGGAAGGCACACTTTGTAGTTTTTATATGTTATCAGGACGCGTAGAATACAAACAAGTTCTCCATTACATTGCATACTTGTCAAATGCTTTTTTTGCCCAATAACGATAATATTTGTGACTAACAACTTTTTTACTTGGTTCGTTATTTAACGCACCCCATCGTTGTTTGAATGGTATAACGGCCTTGGAGGCTAATTGAATAATTTCCGAATCAGGATGCAAGTCTTAGTGTTTTTGTTGTTTTCCGGAGGAGTTTTCCAAGACCTATTTATCTTTCTTATTTAAAGGCATTTTGTAGCAGATGTTTTTCTGGAAAAATAATGAATTTGATCTTGGTGACAGCCATGTACACTTCCCCTCCGTATTTTGCGGGTGACACCTTTGTTTGGGTAATAAAAACGGAAAAGATTTAAAAACAGGGAGATTTTTTTAAAACTGACAAAATTAGACTGAAAATGAAATGAAACTTAAGATTATTCCAATAAATGAGTCGTATAGGAGAAGGTCGAATAAAACCTCATTACGAGTGAACTTCGTGCCATTGGAAACTTTCGTATTTTCGTCTTCAAGCGGTCGCTCAAAAAGCCTAACATAGTTGTCAAAAGCTCCTCAATTAATACAGTAAAGATACGGGAAGACTTACCCAGTCGTAACAAACAAAAATTTAGTTGCTTAGTCTATTCAAGAAAAGTCAAAAATTGACTGTTTTTATCTCATGTACCAGATGATCTTATAGCCTACCTTTTATATTATCTTATGCAAGTTATTGGCTCTTATTGAAGATACTTTTCATCCTTCTGTCAACTTGACCTGTTCATCTATGGCAGTTTACAAATAAAATTTGTTGCCTCAAACACCCGGATTTTTTCACAAGGCAAAATTTCTGTTTAACTCCTATACAGTAAATGTCTTCTGACTCCTCGAAATCTCCCAAATAAGTGGGGTTTTCTTAATCAGAATGCACTCTTCAATTCCTTCCTTTCAAGGCCAAAATCTTGCTCCAAGCATCACTCTGGCAGGGGGAAAATTCAGCCCTAGCCACCACAAATTCCGTCTAACTTCTGTATCTCAATTGTCATATGTGAGTGTTAGATAGTAACTTCAAAATTTGATGCGGTATTCACTTGAAAAATACATGGAGTTTGAAGGGAAGGACGACAAACCATCCCACTCCGAATGAGGCCCTACGTTGTGCAGGCCTGAGGAAGTGGGAAGAGGATTTCTTTTTCGGCAAAATTTAGGGAGAAGGGGATAAAGTGGAAGGAGAACGCAAAGTAAAATGTTTCTTACAAGTATTGAAGTAGTATCAGGTGGATAAATTTTAGGCGAAATCGCAATTTGACTCACAGCTTACCATCACCTACATGGAAAGGATGCGTACTTGTTTCTTCGGTGTCTCGAAAGTGCCGAACAGATCGCAAGTGGATCATTTCTGAACAGGCAATGATACGTTTATCCACTCAATACAAGACGGAGTACAGAAGATCTTTCTGCTCAAAAGCCAGTTATTCACAAAACGATCTTTTTTAGAAAGGACGTTTATGCACTGTATGTAAAAGAAACAAAGTCTTTCAAGTTAAACTGATGGTTTTGTACTGCTCCAAAGACATAGAGGTTTGGCACTGCCTTTGGTGTTAAAGAAAGACGAAAAATCCCAGTTTATGAGTTGTACTTAATAAATAAACAATGATCCAGTAAACGTTGGCACCAAATCACCTTTGTTGGAAATTTAACCTGCCAATGCATAACAGATACTTTTTTTACTACTAAAGATTAAAAAATTCTCAAAATGTCTAAAGGTACCTGCTGCTTTTTTTGCCAAGTCTTTTGGCTTTGATAAGATTAACAACTGCGGCAAGCCCTTTCACCTTCATAACCCTTGAAATGCTTTTTTTTCCGACCGCGTAGTCTTCGAACAGAGCCTCCCAAGTAATTCGCGATTTTATATTATGAGTAAATATTGCTATGATTTACCTAGTCAAGTGAAACTTTTTGAGTTGATTAGAGAAGACTACAAGTCTTGAAGAATGATAGCTTTTTTATGTTTTCACGATCCCCTGCTCCCATACCCTACGTATCCGCTTATCCCGGGATTCAACTAGTACCTCTTCAGCAGTGAATTTAAGGCACGTTTAATCGTTCTTGGACAGTTTGCCTCACTTCCCCTCGACCTGAGTCAAAATAGGCGACTGTGTTCGCTAGTTACACTGCAAGATTCGATTTCGAATGTGCATATTCATGACCGGTTTTTACCCCTTTTGAGAGATCTCGGAAGTGGTGGTTGTGCTGAGCTGGCTACCTCTACGGCTGAAGTCATTACAAGCACACGGAAATGTACAGTTGATCGTCTTTAAAAGGCTTAAATTCTTCAGATTTCATACCAATGAGAGCCACATCCCTGTACGATACTATGTTTGAGATCTTTTTCTTAGGATTCACTTCGTTCATCACCGCGCACTTTTTTCATTTACGCATTCGGCGTCACAGTTCCTCTCCCCTAATCTTGGGAATTAGTACCCCTAACCTAACCGACCTAGAGACATGGGTGCTAGATATTCAACAAAGGGTCACATTTGTGCCGTTTTAACTTAACATTCCCATGTGTGCTCAACTTTTACTCCTCATCTTCAGAATGGTGAGTAGTAAGTCTATTTATCCCACAAGACGGCGCTTCTCATGCTCACACAAGTTCCTGGAAAAAGCTTGTGAATCAGTTGAACTTAAAAAAGGAAATGCATGATGAAGACAGCAAAGCTTTTGCTAACAGTTCCAGCACAACCGCAGAATCTGCGAGCAATCAACATCGAGGCGGACAGTGTACAACTCATCTGGACAAAACCTGACCTACCAGAGGGAGAAGAACTGTTGGACTACAGTCTCTGGTACTCCGTCTCTAATGGCACGTCCAGCAGCTTAAAGGAGGACCTTCTGGTGATCAAAGCCGAGGACTCACAAATAACACTTCGGGGGCTCGCAGCCGATACTCTCTACCACATTCGTCTGGCGGGACGCTCGGTCAACGGCCACGGAACCTCGGCCACGTTTGAATTTCGTACTCGAGAACATCGTGAGTTGTGGATATCCTTTTCTTGACTTAAAACACCCCAACTCGACCAGACTAAGTGCTTGTGCGCTTATCACTCTGCGAATCTCATTTGCCGGTATATTTGCTCTTTCGTCTTATCACCACTCGGTGGTTTATGATCATAGAATGGAGGTCGCTAATTGCGTCTTCTTGATACCATCACAAGGTAAGTAAATAGTCTTGCGCTCTAATTAATTTTTTGACAAATTTTATGAAGCTTTTCCCCAATCCCATTAAGCAACTGGAGGTACATGCACGCACACACACACACTTGCACATGAGGACTTGTTAAAAGTCAAAATGTCGGCTTTCAAAGTCCTGAAGGTCAGACAGTCAATGCATTCTCCCCTACTTGATGTGTTTCTCCATCTTCCAGTTAAAGGTAATCAAACCGACAAAAGAAACTCATTAGTGGACTTGTGCTTGTTCCGGTTGTTAATTTTTTTCTCATTCTTTTAAATAATCTGTTTAAAAATGAAGTACAACGTTTATAATGCTGCAATTTGTAAATCATACAGATTAGTGGGAATATAGTCCCTTCCAGTCAATAAATGCTTGTCTATTTAAGAAAGTATGCTGTTTGGATTGACATACAGTCATCCAGTCTGTCCATTTACCTACTTTCTTGCCAGGAGTGCAGGATGTTGCGTGATGAGCATAACTGTAGTTGATGATAATAGGAGTCTTTTCAACGTGCTTATCGTACAATCTAAGCATCCTCCCTGCAACGTAAGTTAAGTTATTATAATCTGATTTTATTTTTCAGCTTTTCTCTTACTAAAGGGATAAACCACGTTAAATATGTATTAACTGTGTGAATTCAACCTCTCTGCTTATTATAGTTCCCCATTAAATAAATTGTGGGAAAACTGGGGAAAAAAGAGGGTAATGGGGCAAACGAAACCAAGGTTTTGCCTTTCGCATTTGTGTACTGAGTAAATGACAAGTGGTTACCCTGGTCTGATTGCTCACTGACTCCAAATTTTGTATCAGGTATTTTTTTTACCCTACTGACTTTAATTAAGTAGACAATAAACTACTGCTTTAGTGCCTGATGTTCCCGTGGGCCTTCCCATTACCGTGTTGGATTCAAACAGCATAAAAGTGACTTGGAAGGGACCACAAAGGCGTCTGGATGACGTGCGCCACTTCAAACTTTCATGGGAGCCCCTCCAGAAGACTTCCGAGGGTGGTGGTTCGCACAATATCCTCGTGGATCCCAACGATCCCGAACAGATCTATACGGCTACTATAAACGACCTCATGCCCCGCACCTCCTATCGCGTCTCCGTCACTGCTGTGGGATTAAGGGGAATGGGACGGACCTACGAATTTCCTGTTGTAACCACTTGGGTCGATGGTGCGTTTTGACGTGATTTTGGTTTGAATTTACGGAGAGCGATCCAGTAGACAAATAAGGGAGTGTCCAAATATCTTTTAAATGGTGCAAATAGAGCGTTTTTATTAGGGCATTAAAAAAAACCAGAAATCTGTCTGAGTTTTGTAACAAAAGATCCGCCGCATAAATTTGGGTTATTCGTCGGGAGATAAATGAGGAACTAAAATCTCCATGTTACTATTTAACTGCCTCATTTTTCTGGAGAAAATTACAGATAAGCTACACCACACTCCCATCTTGCAATTAAATGCCATTCATAAAGCATGCTACCTCTCGTGGACATTTCGTCTACCTTTTAATCATGTAACATTTGCTAGCAAAGTCTACTAGAGTAGCAGATGCTCCTCCCAAGCTTCAAATGTTTATCTTCTTTCCCTGGTATTAACCAATGGCCTACAAAATGAACCAGATAGTAGGGAAATAGCAAGAATGACTGGAGAGATGATATTTGTTTCCATAGACAAAACGTTTTTATAGAAGTGGAAGTGGCAGCGAGCTTGTGTCTCGTTAGAGGAGAATGACCGAATGCAATGACGACTATTCAAACAAAGATCCCTCCACTTATTGGTATTCTATCACCGAAATAATTTACAAATTCGTATGGTTGTTTAAGCTGGCTAGAAGACAAGAGATTGACGAATAAATGTTTAATGGACTGACGATCCCTAGGAGAACAATAGAGGCAAATGAATGACCTTGTGTGACTTAGTATCCATACTTAGTCGGAAAACAAAGGTGGCTGAATGTAAAGAGAGGGTAGTGTGATTTGCGCTTTTCTTTTAAGTGATGCATGATAGCGTCATTCCCTTTAGATGCAACGTACTGTACCCTTCGCATAAATTACTGGGTGGTTCCGTTGCAAACTTAGTTGGCAATAATTTAGGAAGTTCCTATCTCCACTGATGTTGTTTCTGACAGGCTAATATGCGCAGTTGTGGTTTGTGGTTATGACGTTTGTACCCCGACAGTTGAGGTGCCCTTCAATATCTACCAATCAGCAGGCAGTGCTTGCACCACGGTACCCATGACCGCATGCGTGTCTTTCTGCCTCACAAAAGTTCTCTGTCAATCATTTGGGCGTTCAAATAAATTTCAAAATTTTGAACAAAAGTCAATGTTTTTTTACAATGGATACCTACGCATTCTCAATTATGCTAATTGGGAGAGGGAAGGGGAAAGGCGAGAGAATACTTCTTCTTAAACGAGAAGAAATCAGTGGAAAATAACTTTTAGAGGAATTTGAGGGGCGAACTCTAAAGACACTGTAGAATATTTCGTAGAGAATGAAGTTAAACAAGCTTCGAGTCTCTCTTGGACCAATTTAAGCAGTAAAAGCCAGTTACGTGGTGATATAGCTTTGAACTTTGTGCCTACTCAGGAGTGAGTAAATACCATCGCTAAAATGTTGCCTTGAGTGTTAATACAATCGGAACTGCTTTGACTAGGGGATGGCGGCACAGAGTTTATTACTGCGCAAACAGATTAATTGAACATGAAACAAAGCACACTTGGGCTTGGGGATAGGGGATGGTGGATTCGAGGCCTGCACACATTTGCCTTGTCCCAAAATCTCCCAATTGCGGTTGCTCATAACTACACAAACTGAAAACTCATTAAAGTAGTTTTATTAGTAGCATCGTGCACCCTCAATCAACTCAATGATGCGAAGGTGAGTTGCAGTATCCCAGTTATTTCCGAGGTGATTCAATAATTTATGGGCAATTATCATCGTATAGAACAGAGAGGGGGCTTAATGCCCCATAATGATCACAAATGGTGGAGCATAACTGTAAATAAGTAGAAAAAAAGAAACATTTGCCGTACGGAATCTTTAATCAGTCACCTCGTCGCATATGTTGTTTGCCTTCCGCGTTAACCACAACTGGATGCATCCAGTCGTGTTGAAATTCTACAGGTAGCGCAAAGATATGTATCCTACTTGAATTTCTTTTTTTCTTTCCTTCATTCGGTCCCATCTGCCTTCACACATCCCCCTTCTAGGCGTGTATTGTGGTTGGAAAAGATTTGACAGCTGCAGGTTTTGACCCACCATTCCAAGATGCACTATTGCCGATCCTATGTGGATAGAAGGGTACACTTTCAATTGGACATTTATTTTCACCACGCGCCTTAACCTGGATCCTTTTAGCTGTCTTCAGATAATTTGGGCCTTTCATGCTCATATGTTGGCACATGGTCCATCTAAAGTCAAGTAATGTTACGGCATCGGCATCACCGACTGCAAGCTATAGAAGGGCTCCGTTTTAAAGTCTAAAACTTTTCAAGAAAGTGACCTCATTTCCTATTTATATGTTCATGCATGAAACTCGCCTCCTCTGAAAAGACGTTACTTTTGGCGTGGTCGGTATCAGAGCTACGAAAATCAACGTTTATTTTGAAAGAAATGATCAAAATAAAATGCGCCTGCGAAGTCTCCTCGTGCATACACACACAAAAATCGGTATGCTTTACTGCCTAATAATAGCTTTTTTCTCAAAAAATTGTTTTTTCCTCTTGTTTTTTTGCTACACAGTTGAACCAACGTGTCTTTTTTGCGGAGGCTGAGTAGCACAGGCGTACTCCACCAAAATATTCTGTCTCTACGTGATCAAAATCAACCCTCATTGGGGCATCATGTTTCTCGGCCATTTTCTTGCAGAGCAGGATGTGGATTTTGCTCCTTCCTCAATTTCGGCCATTTTCACCAAACCTGGCAGTCCTGTAGGCTGCACGACCTCATTGCAGTACACACAAAAAGAAAGAAGAGAGAGAAGACATTGTGTTTTAATTTCCTTATTCACTAAAAACTACAGATTGTTAATTAGAAAAAAAGTGGTAGAATATTTTTAATACGATTAAAAAATGAATTCAACTTGATAAATGTATAAGAAGTTGAACAATTAAGTTTTACAGAGAGGAAAAATGTATGCATGTATATTAACTGCTTCACTTCCATTAATAATACACAAAAAAATAGCTCCATGGGGAGGGAGAGAATGGTGCCGTAGAAAGAAAAAAACACTTCCTTTTGCAGAGGTGATTAGAAAATGAGCTAGCAAAGAGGAGAAATTCGAGTTCGTCAAGAGCATTGTCATCTAGGCCCTTGCAATGGTCCCCTTTTCTAAACGTAGACCCTATGACCCTGGGTCAGACAGAAACCTAAGAGTAAGAAAAAATTGGAGCAAATAACAAGGGCACCGTCGTTTGGGCTTCTAAAACGGTTCCCTTCTGATTGAACTCTGCGTAACTCGGGGTCAGATTTCTCTTTTAGTTGGCTTATAATCGAACTTCAGGTTAAACAGTTGGTTTGCCCCAACAAAATCTAAATAAGGAGACATATTTTGGGGCTTTTATACACCCCTTTTTGGTCCCATGCAATCCAAACACGCAAAAAAGGTACATGCTTCCGGTTGCAAAAAGTGTAAGCGCTTGACAATTTTGACCGTTAATGGAGCGGTCACCTCAAATAAATACTTTGTGGCATTGAGGGTGTTTGCCCAGTTCCCCATTTTAATGGGTAGTGAAGTGAAATAAAATGCATTTTAAACTCTTTTCCTGGTAGATTTAAGAATATGCAGAATCATGGCCTTCCAGAGGCATATGTAACATAAAAGTCTCAGTGCATAGAATCCCGCCGGGCTTTAGCTTTGGGAAATCTACAAATGGATAGAGAATTTCTGTCTTTTTGCGGCTACAGTTTTCTATGTAAGTCCGATTTTATTTAACTTTGATCAAGAAGTAATTTGTCAACTTTTGTTAATCGGACGGCCAGTTTTGATATCTACGGAAAAAAGTAGCCTTAGTGCATGTACACAATCATCAGATTATGTACCATTTCATAGAAGAGTGCTTTAACTACCCAGAAGGTGGGTCATTTCAAAGTTTTAAGGAAGAAATGCACCAAAATCCACAATCCTCCGCATAATTCATGGATCCCTATCCCAACTGGCTTTGAGCATATTATCGAACAAGGCGGTGGACCAATGAACTGCCTGATTCGCTATTCACGCATGCGTTTGTCAGGCAGAACCAATCCCAATTCCGTGTGCTCATGGCCAATGAATGCCGGCCACGGGTTGGCAAGGCTGTCCACGCGCAATTGAGCGTGAAGGCGTGCTGTCGTGCGTGTGTGCGTATGTGCGTGTGTGCATCCCCCTCCCACGGGCTTATCCGCTCACTATCTAGTCCGATAGAACACAAAAACGGTGTAGTCAAGTTTTGACACGAAAAAAGGCCAAAAAGCCACTTTCGCCAATGTCTGTATGGATATTTTTCGTTGTGGGGATATTCCTCGGTGTTTCGCCTTTGGAAGCCACTTCCGATTGGCAGTCTTATTGGCACTTGAGAAAGCAAATTATTGGTGAGTATCCCCCACCTCATTCCTCAAATTAAACCACACGCACCTCTTTTAAAAGCCCATCCAAAAGGCTTCTGTGTCTCCGCAAGTGTTTTTAAACTTTCGCGTTGGTCTTGTACAAGGTCTAAACTGTAGCAACAGTTTCTCTTCCCTCCAACGCACACTTCATGCCCTCATCGGGTCACTAATTTTGCACTTTTGATAACAGAGATGTGAAGTACTTAATTATAGATGATTTTAATCAAAAAGTAATAAACAAAGGGGGGGATTTTATGTCAAATTAGAACAAATAACACGCATCCCCGGGGTGGGACTGCTGGTGTTTCTCTGAGACCCTGGCAGAGAGCTTGCTAAAGGCGAAGGGTGACACGTTAAAGGTGGAATTGTAAGTTCCAATTAGTTAATTACTTATTGGTTTTCATGTGGCGCTGAAGAGGGCAAAATCGCCATTCTCTTCATCTTTTCAATAAAGAGGGACCGATTTCTGTCCCGTGCTACAGAAGGTGGGAAATGAGGTGTTTGACCTGATGCTGCAACGCTCATCCAATGGAAATCATAAATACACCTGACCTAGCCCTAAACTACTTTCCTGCATGACCTGCGGTTTCGCTCTTCCATACTATTTTCAATAAGGCAGTACCTCTTATGATAAGAAGGCTGATCTTATTGTTCTACACAATGCTCTTTAGCCCAAGCCTTGAAGGGATTTTACGACTGCCCCCCGGCTTTATGCCACCAAATAAAGTAAAATGCACGTTTGATGTCACAAAATGGAACAGACGACTGTAATTAGGACTTATTACTGGTTCTCGGCTGCTCTCTGTGTACTCTCGAGTACCTCATAAACAGGATTGGGTGGGTTTTATTCCTTTGCTGGCATATACCATGAATTGATGCTGGGTCCTCACGCAGCAGTCTACGTGCAGCATAATACTGTAATTAAGGACTTTTGGTTGCTCTTCAAAAGAACGGTTTTAAAGCTTTTTTTTCACAAAACACGCTCTTTCGTTAGAGGTGCTTGATTGAAGTAGCTAACAAAATTATGGTCAGGACTCGGGAAGAGGTTTAGGCCATATATGTGGCATAAATGCAAGACTAAAGTACAGATGTACTTTCCATACATCACCAGATGTAGAATATTTCCTGTGCTTAACAATTCAGGTGTCTTTACCAGGAAAATCGGTCACTGGTACGGCAAAAGGTGTTATGTAGCTTCCCATGAAGTGATTGACCACTTCAACGGCCTTATAAAACCTCACAAAGGGTGTAACTGACCTGAGATCACATCAGACTTGATGCGACATCCCCCAGCAGGGAAGTCAGGACATTAATCCACATTTGATGACGTTATCAACATTCGTCAACTGATGGAAGTTCAAATTAGTCTCTACCACGATGGCAGGCTTGCCGCAGCTTAGCCCAACGACTATTTGGCAGGGGCAAAAAGCAGCTGTCGCTGCGACTTTTTTAACACTTACAAACCCGCATTAGTCACACTCCGACTTTGTTAAAAATTTACAAGTTAGACTGACTAATGCGCCGTCCTACCGAGGCGTGAGAGAGGTGCCCTTGCAAATGCCTCCACAGCCGTCTTTTAATTCGTGCCTCCATTCCACACTTTGCATGCACACCACAAAAACCTGCTCCTTTGGTCTGGACATTCGTATGCAGGTCGAACGACCCAGAACAGGCTTGCGATCCGAGTGCTTATGTCTCATTTTCCTCTGCAGTCTTTTACTTGATTCCGGTATAGCCTGTTACCTGTTTATTCTTCTCCCACACCGGCATCCAATTACGGTTATTTTATTGTTCTTTCGCCGCATCTTTTAATGTCCTCTACTTCCTGTCCTTTTTTATTTCAATCCGTAATACTGGCATTCCCATCGCAAAAAAGTCCTCTCCAAGCACTTCTTCCAATGAGTGTAATCAAGTTTTTAGTGGATAACTCTCCAAGTCCCCCGCCCTGTCTCCACCCTCGTGAAACTTGTACGCATCACGTAAGGAGTGGAAAAAGAAAAGCGCACCATTTCCCCTCCAAATCGGTTAAATGCGGAGGATATTTCATCCGCCCAACAACTGTCATAAACAAGCCTAGGTTAGGCCAGCACTTAACCTAGCAGCAACCCGTTCCACTTCAATCGTCGTCTGTACGGAGTATTAACCCACTGGGAACGCGTTCGTGGTGCACATTTGATTTGCTTTATGACAACTTTAGAATCCAACAATGCAGCAGCTTTTACTACCTAAAACGTTGTATTAAATCAACACACCTGGGAAAAGTTAAGTTCCTATGGTTGGATAGAGGTTTCTTCATGAAGGATCATCACCTTCCGTTTGTCCGGTTGAAGCTGAGCGGTGGTTGTATGCACGCATTTTTGAGACCTCCTTATCCCATGCGGTAGCGCCATCTTGGCTGAGTTTTTTGTCATCTTTGCCTGCATCGCAGCTTGCTCTTGGTCCACCTCGCATAGGGGAGTGCGCTCTTTAATAATAAATGACAGCGAAGTTATTGTTTGCTGCTAGACGGTCTCACTCGTGCCTGATGGTAGTCAACCTTTTTCCCCCTGTCTCATTATTAGCAAGTCTGGATAAAATAAAGTCATTATGCCATCCCCAGTCCACTGCAGACGGCTCCTTTCTATCCACTGAAATGTCACTAAAGTCCTTCTGCGACAGCATTTCGGTGCTGCAGACGTGATTATCTTGAAGGTTTTTTATGAAGTACCGGCTTAAGTAAGACAGTTCCTTCTATCACTCCACTTTGTGTCTTTTCAGGTCACAATTCCTTTTTTGTGCAGTACTTCTAGATGGTGGGACTCGTTAAACCAGCGTCACCTATATGTGACAGACAAATTTCTTCATTTTAATGGCAAATGTTTGGGCTAAATCGTGCCTGGGATAGATTTGTTTAATTTAAACAATGAAGCAAATTTGATTTTTTAATGAGAGCCTATCCTCAAATAAAAGCCGTCTTTTTTGGGCTGTGGTGGTGGTCCATCCTACTCTGAAACGTTGTTAGCACAAAAGTAACCAGCATCCACTTTCTTAGTTGCCTCAAGAGAAGTCCCCTTTCCCATGGAAGCGGAGGAAAGGCAGGCCATTAGGAGTCTCCATGGTGGGACCCACTGTCTGAGTCACGATGGAGTGGGCAGTGATTCACCCTGGCATTGGTTTATCAACTTTCCTGCGCTCTTTGCTCCATGGTCAGACACAATATATACGCGGAGCGCATAATCCGAATTTATGATGGTACTTGATAACGTAATTCCCTTTGTTTGTGTCAAGGTTTATGCGAATTTTAGTATCATCGTCTTAGTCTGGTCGTTGGCGTCTCATTAAAACGTGATTTGTCCCAATTGGGGAAGGCAGGGTTATTTCTCTACAACGTTTAATTCCTCTGCCCAAAAATTGCTAGCAGTGCCTCAGTTGGCATTTTAAGTTGATTGTTCTGACGCGAGTGTTCTCAGTGCTTCTAAAGTTTTCTTCGATTTTCTTTTCACGCAGTAAAAACCCTGAAAATGGGCTGCAAATAAATTGATGGTCCAACAACAGGCGCATTCATCGTCAAAGTAGTGTTAAATGCGAGGAATTTAATCAGACCATCGAAAATACTGGCAAAATGGCATTTTTACCTTGTGGAAAAACATGTGGAGATGCTTAACTTCCTGTCTTTATTAATTAGAACAAATTGTTCCTCATCCATAGCTCCTCTGCGTCCGTTGAAATTGAAGGTTTCCCAATTGGAGAAGCAACCGCGTCGATTTCCCTCGCCGGGAGGGGATCCGGGACGCACTCTCGGTCTGCCTTACGTGGCCCTCGAGTTGACATGGGTTCGTCCACCGGAATTCGCAAACACGGAGGGCGTGCTCAACTATCAGGTTCGTCTCCTCAAAGATGGGGTGTTACTGATGTGTCCAAATTCCCCTATTTTGCTATTTTTCCCCTTCAATAAAGGTCAGCGCAAGACCCGTCGTGTTACCGCTGGTAGCAACGGAAGCTCGTGTACCAGAGAGTGGTGAATATGCCTCCGTGTTAGCCGCAAAACGCGTCGGCGCTTGGGTCGAAGGAACTAGAATTCTGGCGAATGTGTCAACTGAGTCATTTTCTTCCACAGAAGGCGACGATTTCGGTGAGTTAATGAAGTAGAGGTGTGGATTAGTTGAGGCAATAGCCTAGGCGTGACCAAATAAGGTCTTGCTTTTCAGTTCACTCTGAAGGATAAAAAGATAGTTTAAAACTAAACTCCTTCCAGTAAAATTGTGGCTGATTTAACTACTGAAAGTTGAGTGGTCTTGAGAGAGGATTTATCACCTGTGGAGGATAAATGACTGAAGGGAAATAGACAATATAGTTGAAGGCAAAACAATAGAAGAGGCTTTAATTGACTTGCACTTGGGTAGCGTCGTCATGAATGATTAACCCCAAGCCCTCCTTCTACTCTGTAGGCGATCACTTGGAGAATGCATCTCTTTTCAAGTAAAATGTGAAATAGAAGAGGGAGTGAATCTCACTGTTGGACTGGCATAAATCGTCCCCACAAAACTGTCTTGGAGAGGCAATGCAAATAAGTTAGAATGGGCAAAAGTTCCCAAATCTGATCCGTCCCAGATAAGATGAACTACTTTAATTAGGAAGATGAAGCCGCAAAAGTGGATTTTTCTACTCCCCTTTTATCCTCGAAAAAATGTGGCCTGCGTGATGAGGGATGGTTTAATCAAGAATGCGATGGTATGTTTGTTGCACACAAACAATATAGTCACATTGGAGGCCTTAACAGGATATATGAATGCGTTTTGTGGGTTAATTAAACCTTTCCGTTTGTTAATTGAGGGATGAGGAGTTCTTAGATTGCCTATGTTTCAAGGTCAGGTGGATGCTGTGGTAACCAGTGCTAGCGTAGATAGCCTGCACCCCTGAAAAAACAGGTTTAAGTATCGGTGAGGCTCTGACAAGGTGGATTTCTCGAAGTCTTTCCAACACACCAAATTCGGATGCCTCTCTAAACATTACATATTTTATTAGGAACATTAAAACACCCCCATGTGTCTCTTAACGAGTCTACTTTTTATATCACAAGCTGTTGCTACAACAAAGGGTACTCTAGTCAACTATTCATTTGTATCCCTATTCCCACACCATCTAGCATCGTTTCAAAAACTCCCTCCACTTGCATTTACTAATATTCTTTTTAAATAAGTCAAAGCGTCATATTATTCAGCTCCTTTTAAACAAAGGTTAGTCAGGCTACACAGGTTTCGCGGGTGCTAATGTTTTACCCCAGCTATTAGACTTAGACTTGGGAGAAACGCGTGTTTCGTTCGGTGTGGTTGGAAGGCGGGTTCCATATTTGTGATCTCCAGCGCCCGATAAACCGACTGACGCGTCTGAGCTAATAAAATCAGATTGGCTTTGGCTCTGAATAAATTAAGCGTGTATCTACGCCAGCAAAGACCACCATCGTAACGAAAATCCTCTTCTCTCATCCTTTTGAGTGTGCCAGTCCTTTGTACTTCCTTTTCCCTTTTTTTTAGACCTCAAGACCTTAAAAGCTAAGTTGTAATAAACTTTTTATCATGTAGTTCCTCAAGTCAAAAAATTCGCAGGACTCACACTGACGTGTGTGAGAGCTACACTTGTTTTGCCTCAAATGTCCTAGTGTGTCATGGTAACAAACTATGTTTGCTTAGTCTACTGCGCTATTAAAATGATTGCTTAAGTTTTTTTGTAAAGTCAGGCAACCCAAACGGATGAGGCGTTGCTTTACCTTACCTCCATTCCTGCCGACGGTCTCCTCACAACCTTTGAGATCCATTCTTAAAAGTGGCCAATAATCAAGTGCCCCTCCTGTTTACCTCCAACTTTCTTTCTTAACTTCCCTTTCAGGTTTTTTCTATATTCTTTTGTAAACCCCAAGAAAAATAGCTCCGCTAGGTCACGGGTGAGGCTAACATTCGATGCGATTAATGGTGGCTCCAAACGTGCTTTTTTAAGGGTGTTTTGGTGGACCTTTTTGTTTGCTAGGGTTGATAAGCAAGATGATGTATCACTGTCGAAATGTAGCCGTGTCTGATCCAATTCTTTTGCATTTTTGCATGCTGCTGCTTAGCTTATACTGCAGTGGTACCGAAATCTCCTCCTTCGTCACTTCAGAAGCGCAGTTAGTTGTTTGGGGGCATAAAACCCGGCCACGCGGAGGCTGTTATGCACCTCGATAAGAGGGTTAAAGGGTTTATTTCGTACTAGATTAAGTAAAGATTAATGAGAAATCACATATTTGTACTCTTAAAATGGTCGCACCACGCAATACAGATGACACAGAAGGTAATGCGTCTGGTTTTGCCCAGGCGGTAGACCCAGGGCATGCAGTAATTTGTCTGGAACAAAGCCAACAAGGAAGGCCTTCAAAAATTCCTCACCGCAGTTTGAAGCAATGGTGACAGTGTTGCATTATTCAGTGTTTATTCAACACAGAAATCGGGGTTGTTGTCTGTTGCGCTCTCGTCACTTCCACCAATTTTTGCACTCGACCTGGAGTAAACAATTCAACTACTCGACGTCAAATTTTCCTAGGCCACATTTTTTAACCGCACAGTATGTTAGAGGCGGCCCGGTTCATTCTCATGGTAGCCACCAGTCATTAATACTGCTCATGGAGTCACTTCAAATATTCCACTTAACCTGACAGTAGACAAAGTACTAGACTGGATAGCCTTAATAGCCTCATTTTATGTCTTGTAGGTTTTGGCATCACCTACGAATTCCAAGTGGCCGTGGTCAATTCAACCATGAACGGAATCGTGGAGCGAATCAACGTCACTACGCCAGAAAGCCGTAAGTCCACCCCTACGTTGTCTTGTCTAGCACCTACAAAGAGCACGTTTTCGCATACTCCTCAACTAAAAGTCGTTTGTAGAGAAGAAAATTCCTGCTGAAATGCTATTATTAAAGTGGATTTGACCCAGCTATTGCGCACTACCATGCTATAAACAAATAGTAGCTTCTAGGGCATTGCGTCTGACTGAGAATGGACTTAGTTGAGATGACACAGGTATGATATAAAAATAGACACCCCCTTTTAGAGTTACTTGTAGATTTAAAAAATTGCCTAAAGGGTATTTTAAAAAAAAGGAAAGGGTCTAAATCCGCGTTCCAGTTGATTTACTTAGCCTTCGGGACTGAAGATGGAAGGAGGAGAACATGGTGGTCCCTCTTGATTTAACCAATTTGCTGCCTAATCTGACATGAAAGGAAACATTAATTTAGTTCCTACTCCAAGCTTGTGTATAAAGACTCCCAGATAATTTGACACTTTGCTATGTTCAAACCCGTCAAATATAAGGTGTTAGACTCCCGTAAAATAAAGAAATCAACAAATTGGTACTAGTTTACTATTTTGTGAGGTCATGTATTCCTGGGGTTAAGGCTGTAAAGCTTGAACTCTTCCACGAAGTTAAAAGAAGTCATAATACTGGGGTAGGAAATGCATTGCCGATGTACAGAGTGGCTGGCGAGCTACTGGCATGACGCGGGGGCCATGCCGCCCATAGGGAGGGCAATCGCGGCGCCTCAACTGACCCCGCAACAGAAGCACTGCTTTAAATATACGATCGAGGCATTCTGGGGGTGATGCAAACTGCCCCGTTTTCTACTCCCCTTTTTATCTTTACTGTTTTGTAAAAGGGAGAAATTATTAAACTGTTTTAGTCATAACCAATCCTTCTTTGTTCGTGTTTTTAGAGGCTTTAATAAAGTAGCAGATCATTTTAATAAAATGACGCAAAATGCTGTACACTGGCATGGAGCCAACTATGCAAATATCGAGTCAACTTGTAGGCCACCCTATTTTCGTTTTCTTTTTCGTTCAACAGTTTTTATATAAGCTAAAGAGTTGAAATAAAACACTGCGAAAGGAGTCAGACACAGTGAATCATCCTTATCTCTCCTCATGCCTCTCATGGACATTAAAATACTCTCGTGGTGATAAGTACAGTTGAGAAGGTTAGTTTCTCTCCTACTGCTTTATCCCGCCACTTCGATTAGATCCGTCCAGTTTTCCCTTGAAACTGCGGGTGCGTGGAATTAGTCCAAATGAGGTTGAAGTAACCTGGGAACCGCCGGCTTTACACACACGAAATGGACGTCTCACCAGCTACCAAGTACGCTACTACGAAGATGGCGCAGAGAGTGAGACTGAACAACTGTTTGACGTGCTTGTGCCGGAGCAGTTGAAGTACACGGCTAGGGATCTCAAAACGCAGACCTACTATCACTTTATGGTGAGGGCTTTCACAAACAGTGGTCCCGGACCGTGGACACGATCAAACACCTTCCAGACAACTGGTGAAAGTAAGCACCTTCTCTTTACTCAAGTATTTCTTGCCGATTTTAGGTTTTGGTTCCTCTTCTATCTCTGACATTTGTATGCATCTCTAAAGTAATCTCGATGGGTCAACGAAAATTTAAACTTGGCTAGATGCTACTGACAGCCGTGATTTAAAAGAAAATTTACTCTGTATTAGCTGGTCTTTAAAGAACACATTTATTTTAAAATAAATGCACCAGTGCGAACGGAAGGCAGTGACCAAAGAAGCGTGATTATGAGACACACAAAATTAAAACTGTTGATGCATAGAACGGCTGAACTTCATGAAGAAGAGCTAATTACTCTGGACTTTTCAATTACTGGCATCTTGTTCCGTGGGGGTTTTGCAGATCCACGAAAGTTTCTTGCATCGCCTATTTAAACACCACTGAGCGGTCATGAATTACTCGTCAGAAATCCAAGTTGCAGTCACTTCTCTCGTCCCGAAACCGCATTCTGTGACAAACATTGACTGCTTTTACTTGTGTGGTCATCAAATGCAGAACTTATTTTTTGACATCCGACCTTAAAAGAGTTGATTATTTAGTCAATCGCATGGATATTTTGATCCACTCATTATTTAAGTAGCTCAATGACTGCTGTTTGGGTGTCTAATTGGCCTGTCTGACTGAAGAAAGTTGGATTTAGGAGAGTGGGTTAAGTTGACCAGTTCTACATTGCTCAGGGAATAGCTCTCATTAATAATTGACACCTATAATGTTATAACTAAGGGCAAGTTGAAGTGGCAGAAGATGGGTATGTCTTACAATCTGCTGTTTCTCATATGTGTGTATGGGGTTTTTCCCTCCTTCTCCCACACACACACCTCTACCCTAGAAGTACGAGGGGATCGTTGAGTGCTGCCACCACCTTAACCTACAAAGCAAGTGGGTCGATTACATTATCGGTCAGTTAGTATTATCTTGTTAGCAGAGCTCCAGGACGTGTTTTTTTGCCTATGTCGTTAAAAAAGTGTCGTCATACTTAATGCGACATTAGGGCGGTTTCTTGTGTTCTTCACTTTGGCGGAAAATTTCACTAAGGTTCCTAATTTAACAAGGGCTACAAACAAACCGTAAGTGGCCGCACGCATTCGGGCGCCGAGACACGCTACTAGGCTAATCTACTTTCGGGGATATGTGTTAAAATAGGATACTTTCCAGAGCCTTTTGGAAGTGGGTTAATTATCGGTAAAATAAATAACAGCCTTTGGACCTTCTAGACCTTGCCCATAATTACTTACTCCAGTGAGCAGGATCGTCTTGACGAAAGTGAGGTGTAAGTAATTTGGTAGTTTTAAAGTCACTGCATCAGCCAAGGGGAAAAAGTGTACTGAGGTGCCCCAACTACACAAATTCCCACTTCCTTCAGCTCCTGATGCTTATTTTTGCGTTTTGGCAGTCAAGGAATGGCGAAGATTGTTAGGTGCGCTCAAGAAAGCATATGGAAGATGGCATTAATTCAAATTCACTGCCACTAATCTGTGTGGAATCTTCGCTACACCTTTTCCTTTCTACTTTCTGTGGGTAAAAGGTATTTCTCCCTGAGATTTATGCCACAGGCAATGTCTCTAGTGTCACTGATTCCTAGGCGTTGCCCAAAACCTTGAATGCATCACCCGATCTCCCTACCAAGCAATTTTGTTCGGAAAGAAAGCCTTGCGGTTTTTCAGCCTTCTCCATCAACCTGTGAGATGCACATTTGACTGTGTGAGGTACAAAGTAACAGTAGTGCACTGGGTAAATCTCACAGGTAAATCTCCCGAGCTTACTGCATAACCCTTTCCTCAATTCGCTGGTGGAATAAGCGATAGTTGTAAAGCAAATTTAAAGCGATTTTAGGGTAGTTTCATTGTTAAAAATTTGTCAAATGTTGAGAAGAAAAAAAGATCAAGAGCTCAAGAGCAGACAGAAGTCATGAAAACTCAGTTGTCAAAAGATGTGGATGAGATTTTCCCCTTTCGCAAAGTAGTACTACCCCGCGATACGCGCTTTTGATTTTAATACACCGAAGAGGAGGAAGAAGTCGAGTTAATCTTGTATTCTGTACTGTATGGCGAAAGAGAGAAACAACGCAATGTTTCAATGCCGTGGCGTACGTTTCACCGCTGCTTTAGAGTCGGCATAGAGGGCGGTCGGTTATCCCTCTGTCACTGGGGCAGATGTGAAGATGGAGAAATAGGAAAGCAGCTGACGCTATGAAAAGTGTTTTGTAAGGAGTTATTGTGTCTACTTACTTATTTCCTTACTTTTCTTTCCCTTTGCCTTGAAAAGGGGCAAGTCTCCCACAATTTCTTTCGGTGATCAACCATCCCCCTTATTATTGACAACTTGTCTTTTTTGCCCTGGGCATCGTTTAAGGTGAATCATTCATTCACTCGCCCATTCGATGAAAGATCCCCATTAATCAAATTTGAAAGTGACAAATAAAGGGTTTTGCATGTTTAAGCAGCTTAATAAACATATTCTTAACTAGTTGAAGGGCTAGATTTAATTATACAGGGAAGCTAGCCCCTCACACTTGGCGGTTCGTTTATCGCTCCATGTCCAAGTAATGATTCGTCAGTGAACTTACCTTGTCCAACTGAAAAGAGGAATTA